ATGAGATGTCTGTCTCTACTCACAACTGTAAGGACTAAATTCTTAGTTCAGATTCTATTGTGATATTCAGTGATATTAAACTGAATTCAGTTTCATTTTTGAAAGAAGTAGAAAGGAAATCTCCTTAAACTTTCTTAGCATAGCTATTTCTTTCTTAAATTCTGTGGTAATTAAAAGCTGAATTTAGCCTTTTATGACTGACCTTCTAATTGTTCTCTCAAAGATCCCTGTGCATAACTTTGTTATATTTATTTAAAATCCTATTCCTCAGGGTATCCAGAGAAGAAGCCCTAGTAAATACCTGAGAGCAGTGTGTCCTCTTGGGATCCTGCATCTTGAGCATCCCAAATGTTATCTGTCTTTTGCTCCACCTCTTTAGTAGCATTCATGTTTTATCAGCTAACATGAGGGATCAAGAGGCAGCCCTGGAGTAATTCCACAACTTTGAAAGCAGAAATTTCTTTTACATAAGCTTTATTTTTCAGCCACTGAAACATGGCTGTCCTGAAAAAAAACAGGAAATATTCAGTTTTTCTTTATAATTTATATTCCTTTGCCACTTTTATTTCATTTCGAATACTCCCTGCTAAGTTGCGGTACCATACTTTTTTCTCTGAATGTTTGCTCATTGTGTTGGTGATGTATTTGTACATGCAGTTTCTCTAGCCTGCTGTAAGTTACATATTGAAATATTGAAATATCTCATGCATCAATATTGGGATAAATTAACTTGAGATTACAAATTTTGTAGATTTTCTGCATATGGGATGAAAAGACAAAAACATGCAGACAAGTCTCTCCTGCAACAACAGGACTTTCAGAGACAGGACTATGATTCAAGTAAGTCCCTCTGAACAGATTTGTGTAAAATTTTGGAAAAAAATGTACTTTTGGCAGGATGTTCAATATGTAATAGGATCATTTAATATTTGAGCTTCTAGAATAGTAGCTTAAATGCTTGGAGGTCAAAGTTGTATCCTGTGGGCTTTTTAAATTTCCATATTTATCTGCCTGGTGCATCTATCCAGCACCCCCAATTCTTTGGGCAGATCCTTGATTGCTTTTTGCAGTCAACTGGATCAAAGTCTATGCAGCATGAAACGTGTAGGTGCAGTTTATGAATCGTATCTTCTGCATTACCCATTGGAAATGTATCCCTTCACTTCCACTTGCTGGGAAACAACTTTTCTGGTGTTAGGAGTAATAGCTGAAGGAACAGAAATGTGTAAAAAGAAGCACAGGCAAGGGCATAGAGAACAAAAATGTTGCTTTTCAATGTGACATTGTTTCACAGTTATCTATTTTTTCCCTAGTTTGTAGGAGTAGGAGAAACAATATTACACTTAAAAGAAGAATTCTGGGACTTCAAGCATACTTTAATTTTTGAATATGTAACCTAAAAATTCTATTTTGTAGATATGAGGATAAATCACTATTTCTGCTTCAATGAATGTGATTTTAGTGGCTGTCTTTTTTTGTCAGACTTCTGGTACTAAGATCTGTCATCATTGCATGTTCTTTTTCTATGACTCTAGCTAGCCCTTTAAACCTACCCCCAGGTTTGTGGAATAATTATGAGCATAAAAAGCCAAAATTATGACTTAAGATTAGCCTTGAAGTCTGCTTCAAAGAGCTCTGGCCAGCAGCACTCTTATGGTTTTGGAAGAAGATTATGAAGTTGCGGCAGGTGCACACACCTCTATTGTCAAGGCAAGGGCCACCACAGCCTAACACCTGCTCTGTGCCTTCTGTTGTAGCTGCAACCAAAGACACCCTGCTGTTTTTCCAATTCCTCCAGCACCAGGAAGCACAGGAGGAGCCTACACTGGATGACCCAAAACGGGGCATGAAAACAGCTGAGGTTGCTGTGCAAGAGCACGTCAGGGGATGAGTGCCAGTTCAGCTGCTTTGTTGCAGTTCTGCACCTGCACAGAGCAGAGCAGGGCAGCTGCAGACAGGTAAGTTAGTGCAGTAAAAACAAAAATTGAAAAAGAAAAAATGTGCTGATTGTTATTCAGCTTTTGTGTGGTTTGTACAAAATTTCTTGTGGTGCTTCATAACTTTGAGGCATCTTCTGGAGTGGCACAGATTCCCGTGTGGAATGTCAAGTGGTGATCTGCAAGGAATCAGTGTAATTTAGTGAACTGCTTTTCTCTTTAACTAGCTCTTCTCTATTTGACCAGATTAGAAGAATTAGATGTCATCAGAACAAAAATAACAGAGGAAATTAATGGTAATGGTAAACTATGAGGATGGTGACACCAAGTATTGGACTGGAAGGTGGAAAGGGACAGAAGAGTCCAAGTCTTCTGGATTAGAGGTGAATTGGTACCTTGGTCTGAGCCTTCCCAATCTGTGGTCATATCCTCAGAATGTACTGTATATTTCTCTTTCCAAAGGAAGGAAGTATACTGAGAACCTTCCTTTCCAAAATAATTCCAGCACTGAGAACCAGTACTATTGGAAATGCTTCCATAATGTTCTTAGGTAAAACAACAGATGCCTAAGCAAAAAAGCAAGCGTGGCAGTGCTCCTATTTGTGAAGGTCTGAATAAGTCTGTTCAGCAAAAGCAAAATTTAGAACATGTACTCTAACTACCAGTCTGTTTTGTGCTTATGTGCAAAGAACATGCTAAACAGAGATATGACACCCAAATACTCATTTGCCAGTGGAAAAACAGCCCCAAGTTAATACATGGAAACAGTTGTACATCTCCAATGCTAAATGAGCAGGAAACATAAACAAGACTAAACAAAAATTAGCTTGAAACCTATGATGCCATGGCAAAGAAATGACAGTATAAAACAAAGAGGTAGCTCTTCAGTATTATCATTTTGTTATATACACACCTTTTGAACAGAGGCTTCCCATATTATCAGTTCCACCTTTTGTTGGCAAATGATGAAGCATGATAATCTGTCAAATCATGGGTAGTAAACTGAATAATAATATTTAAAAGACTCCCTCTTTAAAAAAGAAAAATATTTTATGTTGAAAATAGAAAAAAACAATCTTTCAAGGAGGGGTTGCAAATATGTTTTTTCAGCTGCGGAAGTTTCTGCAAAGTTAACTCTTCACAGTGACAAATTAAGTATGTAAGATTGGTACAAGTCTTATTTTTCTTTTTCCCTATTTATTAGGGCTGTTCTGGAATATTAAATCTGCACATAACTACTGCAGAATTTTCCTCCTCATTGATACTTTGTTTTATATGGAATATATTTTTACATCATTTAAAAATATTGCTCTCTGCAAAACACTTTTATACTCTATTTTTCATTTGCATTCCAAATAATTGCTGTAGGGTTTTCTTATTCTTAGCAAAAGGAGATAGATTCCCAGATGTATTTCCTTTTGTTTTTCTTTCTTCCTTCTCCCCTGTGTAAATACTTTTATAAAAGTAGATTTAACAAAAGACCATTCACTATAAAAAACTTCCTCAGCAGTGACATGATACACCACACACCCACTTGTGTAGTCTTTATCAATAACAACAGAAACAGTGTCAAGTGATAAAAATATATGTGATTTAAATCAGCCGTTTTGGGAGTATATTTATTCAAGACCCTTCAAGCGGAGATGAATAGCAGGTTTCTAAATGTGGTGTTATGAGGGTAAGCAAATGAGTCACTATTTGTATTCTGGAGCAATGGAGTTGGGCAAGAACAACACCGCAAGAGGGAATAAGCAGTTGCATCTAACTGTTTATTGTATTACGTCCATCACCACAGGGTGTATCTGTGCATGTGAGGTCAAGGTCAGTGATCCTTGCTCACATGAATCATCCTCAGCGCTAATGGAAAACACCCCTGGTGCAGCGTGTTGGAACACCAGCAGCTCCGGCAGACCTCTGGCACTCCTGCCTCATTGTGTGAGCCACAATCCACAGGTGAGACAGAACGCGGCCGTGGGGAACATCCAGGGCTCGGGATGGATGAGAGCTCAACGGGGGCTGTTGGTGGAGATGGGCATTGGGAAGAAGGAGGATAATTTTTGACTGGAGGACAAAGCAGTGCTGCTGCGGGCCAGCTATGGCTCCTTCACACCTTGGCTGTTTGAGTTTCAAACCTGAAGAGCCTTTCAAAATGAAATATTATTAAAATATCGCAACCTGGATATGAGTTGGTTTCCAAATAAAGTTTTAAAATGATGATAACAAATCCTATTTATCTTTCTCCACAAGTTTCTTGAAGTCAAGGACACAGAGATGGAATATAGTGGCACATGAAGATGGGTTTGCTTTTCTTCTCTCTCCCTCCTCCTCTTTTAATCAGTGCAAATTCTGCATGTATTTTCTCTGTATTTCCGTGTCCATACAGAAAGAAGGATACATTTTGTGGAACTGCTGATCACATATATATATGTGTGTATGAAAAATGAAAAAACAACCATGGAATAACTTTTCAGGGCTGCTGCAGCCACTACTATAATTTGATATGCAAGCGGATTTATTACTAAGATTGCAAACCAAAGTTATGCGCATTATGTTTCTTGAACTGCAGTAATCCTTCTACAGAAATTTTGGCCATCCCTCGCCAAAGCCAGGGAAGGAACTCGGTGGCCGGAGTCGTCCCCGGGACTGTAGCGAGGAAGAAGAGGGTGCTCCGCGGAGGTGAGGGAAGGAGGGAGGGAGGCTGGCTGTTGTCTCACCACACATGGTCTTGTGGGAAGTGGGAATCTCAGGTTGAGTTACTCATCGGTATGGAGTCAGGAGTGTGCACAACCAATGATTTTGATGGCAGGAGGTAACGTACACATGTTTTTCAGGGAAGGTGCTGTAGGAGGACTTGCCGGCGGGCAGGAGGAGGTTTGCGCCGAGGGCTGTCATTTCCCAAGCGCGGAATTCTTCTCATCCCGGGAGCGCATCACCGCCGCCTCCGATGCTCTCCCTCCCTACGGTACGGGCAGGGGGCCGGCGGCGCTCGGCCCCGGCCGGGCAGGGGGGGCGGGCGCCGTGCCCAGGGCAGCTCCGGCGCCCCGGAGAGCGGGGCGGGGTGCCGCCCGCGGCATGGCCGGCGCGCTGGGCAGGGGGGCGGCGTGCTGGCGGATGCGGAGCGCGGCGGGCGGCAGGAAGGAGAAGCCGCCGGGCGCCAAGCCCCAGCCCCGGCACGGTAAGGGGGCGGCCGCGGCGGGGCTCGGCGGGACGGGAGCCCCGAGGTCCGCGCGGGGCAGCCGCGAGGCCAACTTGCCCGACACTTGTACTGCCCGCTCGGTCCCTCCGGGGCAGGGCGAGCCTTTTCTCCTTTCCCGTCCAGCGGGTGCGGAGGGAGAGGAGCTCCCTGCTCCCAAATTCCTCCGAGCTGCGCCTTATGTCTTTTATTTGCAGAGGCGAAAGGAGAGGAGCGGTGTTTGCGCGCGTTTTGGCATTTGACAGCGGCTTCTTTGGTAATTTTTGCAGAAAGCATTTCTCGTCTGGCAAACGCCAGTGAACCTGAGAAGAGTCCCCGAAATCTCTTTTGGCTTTTACGATCTTAATGCCCGGAAAGCACTGTTGAAAATATTGCCCTGTGTGCTGTTGTCTCCTCCTCCCTTACTTGTTCGGGGAGACAGATGCTCTCTTTGAAGGCTAACAGCACACAGGCAGTTCTCCCAAAATCAGATCCTGACTTTGAAGGCATAGAGCGGAGTGGTGTTCCACGAACTATTGAAAGAAGTGTTGAGGTTCATGACCCTTGTGTGCTAAACACTGAATGCAGTTTACCCAGAGCCAAAGCTGTCATGTACGGTTTCTTTACTGTACTGCTTGGCTGTCACCGGTCCCTGCTTTGAGGAACAAACCCAACTGTTTGTGGATCTGGTTGCAATGTCGGGAAATCTCACTAGAATTTGTTCTAGTTGTGTGTTCCCCCTGGGGTTTTAAGTCCACTATTCGGGTAAGTGGGTTTGCAGAGGTCACTGACCTAATCCTTCAAGGGTAAGGTAACAGCTTAAGTTGTGCTTGTGTTCTGTGTCAATTTGCTTTTGTTTGTTGTTGTTTATGTTAGTCCCCAAAGTAACTTTGTGTCTTTTCCTGAGAAGTTTATTTGCCTGAAGGAGTAATTTGTACTCTTTAAAAGTCCAGAGGTTGCTGTAGCTCATTCAGTAATCTTGATGACAAAAATGTTGCAAAGATGGGGAGCCTGGTACCTCAGGTGTTGGCATTTTGAGAAAATGCTTGCTAAGAAAGTGATACACTCAAATGCAGGTGGGAAATGAAAGCAAACTCTGTTTCTTCCATTGACTGTCACCTGGATGTTTCTGAGCTGGAGTGCTTCTGCAGCAGCATCTCCTTTTCCATTTTGCTTCCTTGTGCCCCTTTCACAAGTCAAAAGAGGAAGCAGACTAAAAGTTGGAGCAAAGATTTTATCAGTGGATGTCAAAACCCCTCTAAAATAAATTCTCTAGGGAAAAAAAATATGTTATCCATTTAGAGAAGAAAAGTGGTTGTTTAAAAGTAATATAAATAAAAATATAAAAAAATATTTATCCTTTTAATTCTGAGTGTATGCTGGTAGTAGGGACTCACATGTTGATGTTGATGGGATTCCTTTAAGTTGTGTACCTATTACATGTAGGTATTACACAGTAGCTAGGCACACAGACCAAAATTCTGGATGCAGTGAATTCAGTGGGAATTTTGCCACTGACCTAAGAAGAGCCAGAATTGAATCCACAGACTGTGTAGTGTGAGGTGTCGGGCCAAACTGAAAACATTTGGCTGATTCAGCTGTGCAATTGTGGCAAAGTTTATAATCCTGCATATGCTGCTATGATTAATGTATTATCATAATAGCTCTAAATTAAATTAGTTATAAAATAACTGGGTTCTAATTTACCTTAAGAGAAAAGATGTGGTATGCTTCAGTCTATTGGGATTGCTTCTTATAAACGTTTTCTAAAGTATCATATCATACTGAATTCACGTTTAAGTAATTACTGCAACAACACAGAACACTGAATTACACTGAAGCCCATACACTTTGCATCCTTTCAACTGTCATTTAAAAATAAGCACTCTATTATATTGCCTTTGCAAAGAGAACTAGACTTAGTCACCAGATCATTTACTAACCTTTGACAGCTCCAAATATAAGGCATAAATGAAATTAGAGTAATTTTCATGTCCTTAATGCTGATTGTATGCTATAGGGAAATATTTCGGGTGAAAACCAAAGGTGTGATATTACTTTAGTATGCTTACAATATTTTCAAAGTTACAGAAACACTCACTTTTCCAAGAATGGGCTTTTAAGTAAATTTCAGCTTTTGTAAGTGGTGTTGGTAAATTGATCATGCAGGAACAGAGAACTTACTTAAAATGTTTAAGCTAAAGCATTAGAGGGGTTATAAGTGGGATATAGCTAAAAGTAAAAGATATAACTAAAAGATATAGCTAAAAGTAAAATTGTGGTATATGAGCTGCCAACGATTTTTAACTAGCAAACAGACTGAACATTTGGCTCATTTATACCTGCATGCATTCAGTTATCAAAGTTCACAAGAGAGCTGTATGAAATACTTTGAAATTTTGGAAGTAATAACTCTTGGGAAGTAATATTTCTTTCTAATCTCTGTTTTTGCTACAAAGCCATTTCAATGGGCCACCGTCCTGCCTTGGTAAAAAGTGTCATAGCTCTGTGGATCTCAACAGCACTGCTATGATTGACACCATCTGAAGACCATGCACAATATTTCTGTGTATGTTTGGATTAAGATATGTTTATTTGGGCATCACTTAAGGATCTGAATTGGCAGGGTGCATATTGAGTTGCAGCTGAGCAAACCTGCCATTTAACTGAGTCAAGTTGCAAATATTTTCCAGCTTTGACATTCTTCTCACCTTTTACATGAGGGCTTCTGGACACTTTTTTTATACTTTTCTAATCTTTAAAAATACAAATATTAAAATTTCCTTGTGATCTCATGTGTAAAAGTTCTTGTTTTACAGGTTTTCGGTTTCATACCATGCAAAGCAATATAAAGCAGAACTAGCATTTCCACCCGTTGTGATCTATACAGTAAGTGAAGTCTTGTCAAGATTCCAGCAAGAAGTTCAAGATCCTGTTGAGATGATGAATATTAAGAGTCTTGTAAAAAGTCCATTTTTAAATTCTTTAATGTTGGGTTATCATTGGCAACTTACCTTCAAAGGACTTGAAAACTGACAACTGCAGCCAGAATTCTATTACAGATACTCTTTAGGCAGAAAATGTTAAGAAGTAGTGTAACAAAAATACGTAAATAAAGTAATATTTTAGTGTACTGCTTGAGAAAACTTTGAAATATTTGTATGAGAAAACCTCCTCCCTTGAGGAGTAGATATGGAAAGATTGTGACTAAAAGCTGTGAAACAGAAATAAGTTTTAAATTACTTGGTGCCACCAGAAATGACTTCTGGAGAGAAAGCAATGTTTTATATCCCTTTTAAAGCTATGTGAATGTTAGTATAAAAACACCAGAGTAAAACAGCACAAGTAAATAGTGCTGGCTGTGTGTATAGGAGTGTGTGTGTCCACATAGGTAACGTTTTAGACAGAAAACAATTACTTTCAATTTATTTGATTTTTTTTTTTTAAAAAAGGAGCTCACAAAATGTGCCATATTTAGACTGGCAAGTGCAAGTCCTCTGTGCTTCAGCCAGCACAATGAAATCAGTTGGTTTTATGCCAATATGTTGAATTATATCCAGGTAGGCTGGATAAAGGAATATGAGCTCTAACAACACAGACCGCTTCTTCACCTGGATCTGCTGACTAATTTTAATCTTGACCTATCTAGAGTTGTCACAGAATAAGACAAAAACTGTTGTTGCCATATCTGTTTTGTGTAATGGAAAGGTTGTAGTGTGGGAAGGGTAGAAGTCAATGTATTACTGCTGCAGAGACATGGTCTCTTCCAACTGTGTTGAACTGCTGGGAGAATGGAGAGAGAGGAAAAAAAGCCCTACAAACCTGTTCATAATTCTCCTCTTGAATAAGCTTAGTTGTATACAAATATGCAAACATCCAGGTTGCTCCTGGACTGGATTAATGCCACAGTTAACAGTAAGGAAATGAAATTGGTCTTGAGCTTTCCACTTTCAGATATTCTCATCTTTTTGCATTTCTTCTTGAAATATTCAAGAATGTGCTTCAGTATTTTCTGTTGGCTTTTCCTTTTCTTCCTTCTGTGTCTCCTGGGAAATAATGTTGTTGGTCGTGTTGAGGTAGTCATAACCAAATCTTCTGTTTTGCTTGAGGCACAGTTCTCTCACCTCACTTTTGACATGTGCCTTATTGTAGCATTTGTGAAAACAAATGTCTGAAATTAATGTAGACTTTATGCATATATATGTATATATGTACGTATGTATATGTACATGCTTAATATAAAGGAATAGAAGTTTTCTTCTTGAAGCAAGTAAACATATTTTCTGTGATCAGCTGCAATAATCTGCAGGTAGGTTTTAAATATTGAAACATTTTCCTAGCCTATATATTCAGAATGTGTGAACATTGATGTTATTTCTGTTTACATCTACTGACACTTTGATGCCTCAGCCACTTCTGTGGTCTCATTAGTAAGGCAGTGTTTTTACTGTGTAATGCAGACCTTGCTCTGAAGGCAAGGCTTTCCAAACAAATGGATGGGTAAGGAAGGATTTTGGCCTGGAGAACAAGAGGGGTTGGTTTACCAAACATATTTTAACGTGATTAGCCTTTCACTTTTTCCTTTGATGCAAGTGCTAGCTAGCTGTTACCTCTTTCTGTAGTTGTTTTCTGTTTATTTGTAAAAAACTATTTGCTTGTTTCTTTTGTTTTGTTTTTCAAATGAATTCCCTGTAAGAAAGGTAATACACTAGTGGACGCCTAGTTCATAGAAGAGGATATTTATGATACTGATAAAACCTAGGGTTATAGCTTCCTTCATTGGAGATAAGTAATCATAGCTAAAAATCCACAGATTATTCTAAATTTCAGTTTATGATAGAATGAAAAACCACCATCTAGATCTTAGAAGCAGACTCCAAATACAGTTTTCTGATATTTATTTAAATCTAATTTTGGCACAGAAATGTAGTTAAGAAACCAAAGGCTTCCCTTCCATTTCATAACCAGATATATTTTTGTGACTTCTATTTTTTTACGGAATA